ATTCTAGCTTACCCCCAACCCACAAGTACCTATACAACATTCTCCACTCCTACCACAACTACCATCACCACCACAACCAACCTCTCCTAACCCAGACCACACAACCTAACCACACCACAAAAGAACCAACAACCCACCATCACAAATACCCCCAAAACACACCACCCCCGCGCATGCCAGCCGCCAAACCCAGCTCAGACCAAGCCCCCCCCCCGTACGCCATCCCACCCCCCCCCATATCGCATAGTTCGGCCTCCGGCCTTGCACCAGGTTGACCCCATCAACTCATATGCAGCTAATCCCCCAGACCTCCCGCTGCGTCTCATTAAATGTGTCGTATATAAACGTTAATATACAGCATTTTCATTAATCGCATCCAAGATCTTTATTTTTCAAAAATAAAATCATACACCACGATACATAACCATAAAACGATGATAAATACACCCAACAATAGAATACCACACCCCACCCACAGTACGCAGACTACTCCAGCACCCATATGTCCCAGATCTGCCCCTCCAACCCCTAAACACACAGCTCTTCCCCCACGCTCCTCCCCAGATAAACGCAGGGGGTAATAACCCCAGCAGGTTTGTCCCATACCCCCAAGACAAAGTCCAGAACTACATACCGTAAACACAACCGTACACCCCCCGCACCCTAACTCCTCTCAACAGCCACCCACCCCCCCAACATATACTCCCCCACTGCACTCCCCACCCACAGACTCTATGCCAACATACTCATTGCCTATCCCTCATTGATCATCCAATCTTCTCGAACAATGATTTATCCCAGATAAAGGGCTGTTTTTCTTATTATTAATTCCAACCCGAATCACGATAGAGGACAACCTGTACACAATGTAACTATGTATCACCAAACACACCAGACGAGTACCAACTCGTGTGTTTTGCAAAACTAAACCTTCCGCCTGTTTGTTTACATAACTCTGCTGTACTCGTCTCTCAAGTGCACTCATTCTTTCCTGCTCTCGGTCGTCAGGTTTATGTTCTTTTGTATCTCATTTACTTACTCCTGACGACCTGACATTAAGACTACAACATCTTATAGTAAAGACATGCGATCCCATTCGACACCCAAAAACCACACTCACAGGGTAAGCTTCAAACACAACGTACACTCGAGTGAGGGTGTGGTTGGCCTGGTTTGGTACCTGGCTATACTACCATACAAACCAACACAAGCTAAAAACACGACCCAACCCACCCCAGGACCACCATCACCACAGCTCACAAAAGCCTGTACCTACCATCGATCCCATACACAACCCAATACCGCCACTGCACGAATTCATACAACCCACACCTCTCCAATACATATATGTTATTTTTATTCCCATTACCATAATGCCTGGCATCTAATCCCAACGGCCTCCCCCACCCGGAAGCTAACTCCCCCACCCACCACCAAGGACAACACCCAACGCAACCTCCACCCTCAAAACCTTTACCGACCAGTTGCTTGGCGCCACATTATAGAACAATACCCTAAAAACAATGTAAAAAAAAAAATCATCCATGGAACTACAATCACCCGTGACAACACATAAACTATACCCCGAATAACACACTAGAAATATACCATCCATACACCGATGCGCCCCCTTGTATGTAACCCCATTACCTGTCGGTTTCCGCAATCAACACACCCGGCGGAAGCCTGAACCTTCCCCTCCTTATAAGAGGGGACTCCAGCATATAGTGTGAGTTTGAAACACACACAGCAACACGACGACAATCACACACACCACACACACACTACTCCACACATCGGACACACACTACGACAACATCACACACAAAAAAAAAAAAAAATCCCCCATACTTGTGTTTGAGGTCTCGGGGGGGCCGGGCGGCCGTACTCGGCCCGCCTCGGCAGGGTGACGCCAAAAAAAAAAAAGAACAGAACATCCCAGAAAGAGAAAAACTTTCCATCATCATTCAACCCTTTCACCACACCCACACATTACATTGCTTTTTGCAGAGGGGCTCAGAAATACAACAGTTTAGGAGGGGGTGCATATACGTATGAGAGATACCACAACTTAGACCCTCCAAACTGTGCCAAAATGCGCCCGAAACCACCACCATTTAACGTGCAGGCATTGTACTTCCCATGTGGTCCAGGACTCAAGTCTGACTATATGAACAATAACCGGTTTTACCCTGATCCCGGTTGGGCAGCTATATAATATATATATAGGGGGGGGGGGTAATAATATATATATAATAGGGGGAATAGGGGGGGGGAGGATATAATATAGAAGAGGAGTAGAGTTTTTTTTTTTTTCAACTAATCTGGAGGGGGAGGGCGAGGGTGGGGGGCCGTCGTCGGCGGCATCGCAATGCAGGGTGACCGCAAAACTGCGCAAAGAGAATGACAGCTAGAAGATGATAAAGGTTTGATCGCATGTATCAGAAATCGTTCTCTATGTAGGATAGACTGAGGGCCCTGAATCTGCACTCGTGCTCAAAGGCACAGAATTAGGGGGTAATGTGATCGCGAGTGTGCGAGATAAATGGAAAACAAGGAGCGCGAGAGCGAAAATAAAGGGAATGTGAAGAGCGTGCTGAAATTCCTGGCCAATACAGGACTTGCAGCAGTGGCTTCAAGTTGGAATAGTTTAGATTCAGGAAGGATATATGAAAGCACTGTTGGTAATAGAGTTGTGAATGAGTGGAACAAACTCCTCAGTACAGTTTAGAGGCTAAAATGTTGTGTAGTTTTAAAAATAGGTTAGATTAATAAATGAGTGGGTGTGGTGGGTGTGAGTTGGACCTGACTAGCTTGTGCTACTAGGCCTGATGCTGTGCTGCTTCCTTAAGTGGAAGTGACCTGACTAGGTGGGTCAATGGGCTAATGCTGGGGGGGAGGAGGGGCCAATTGGACCTGCTTTGGCGTGGGTCGGGTGGGGCCTGCTGTGGTGGTTTCCTTCTTTCCTTTGCTCTTATGAGTGGAGGGTGTGGGTGTGTGGTAAATTGGGACCTGACTAGCTACTAGGTCAGATGCATTGCTTTCTCTCCCTTAATGACGGTCCTGACCTCACTAGGTCAAGGCATTGGCTTAAGCCGTGGGGAGAATTGGGAGCTGCCTTGCATAGAACCAGTATGCCGTGTTTAGTGTTCATATATATCTTGTTGTTCTTATGAGGGCAAATAAAAGTTGTCTATTAGTGGGATGTTATCTTTGAAGGACAGGCTTAGTATGAGGCCAAAAACCAGCTGCAGTGTTTACTCCTTTCCATATGTTTCTTTATGTCTTGATATGCGTTGGTAAGTACTGGTCCTAAATTTTTTTATTTCACTAACTTGCACACAAAAATTGCCCTCGTTAATTTAAAAAAAAAAAATCAAAAACATTCGTAGCGCTGTTGACGAGAGAACGTAGAATCTAGGGGTGGCCCAAAAGGAAAAAATAAAAGTTCTTCCCTTTTACATTTAGTAATATATACAAGAGAAGGGGTTACTAGCCCCTTGCTCCCGGCATTTTAGTTGCCTCTTACAACACGCATGGCTTACGGAGGAAGAATTCTGCTCCACTTCCCCATGGAGGTAAGAGGAAATAAACAAGAACAAGAACTAGAAAGAAAATAGAAGAAAACTCAAAGGGGTGTGTATATATATGCTTGTACATGTATGTGTAGTGTGACCTAAGTGTAAGTAGAAGTAGCAAGACGTACCTGAAATCTTGCATGTTTATGAGACAGAAAAAAGGACACCAGCAATCCTACCATCATATAAAACGATTACAGGCCTTCGTTTTACACTCACTTGGCAGGACGGTAGTACCTCCTTGGGTGGTTGCTGTCTACCAACCTACTACCTATAGTAAGGTGATGAGGGTATCAAATGATTTAGATAAAGAAAAATTGGATATCAAATTGAGGAGGAGGAGTATGGAAGAAGTGAATGTTTTCAGATACTTGGGAGTTGACGTGTCGGCAGATGGATTTATGAAGGAGGAGGTTAATCGTAGAATTGAGGAGGGAAAAAAGGTGAGTGGTGCGTTGAGGTATATATGGAGACAAAAAAGTTAACAATGGAGGCAAAGAAGGGAATGTATGAAAGTATAGTAGTACCAACACTCTTATATGGGTGTGAAGCTTGGGTTGTGAATGCAGCAGCGAGGAGGCGGTTGGAGGCAGTGGAGATGTCCTGTCTAAGGGCAATGTGTGGTGTAAACATTATGCAGAAAATCCGGAGTGTGGAAATTAGGAGAAGGTGTGGTGTTAATAAAAGTATTAGTCAGTGGGCTGAAGAGGGGCTGTTGAGGTAGTTTGGTCATTTAGAGAGAATGGATCAAAGTAGAATGACATGGAGAGCGTATAAATCTGTAGGGGAAGGAAGGCGGGGTAGGGGTCGTCCTTGAAAAGGTTGGAAGGAAGGGGTAAGGGAGGTTTTGTGGGCGAGGGGCTTGGACTTCCAGCAGGCGTGCATGAGTGTGTTCGATAGGAGTGAATGGAGACGAGTGGTATTTGGGACCTGACGATCTGTTGGAGTGTGAGCAGGGTAATATTTAGTGAAGGGATTCAGGGAAACCGGTTATTTTTATATAGCTGGACTTGAATTCTGGGAATGGCAAGTACAATGCCTGCACTCTAAAGGAGGGGTTTTGGGATATTAGCAGTTTGGAGGGATATGTTTTGTATCTTTGTACGTATATGCTTCTAAACTGTTGTGTTCTGAGAACCTCTGCAAAAACAGTGATTATGTGTGAGTGAGGTGAAAGTGTTGAATGATGATGAAAGTATTTTCTTTTTGGGGATTTTCTTTCTTTTTGGGTCACCCTGCCTCGGAGGGAGATGGCCGACTTGTTAAAAAAAAAAAAAATTGAATTGTAATTCCTGTGCACTTCTGGCAAAACAGCTATTGAATGAATGATGGGGAATTTATCTCCTTTTTTAGGTTATCATACATTGGTGAGAGATGGTCAGCTCAATTAAAAAAACAAAAATCTCTTCCTTTATTCCTTAGGGTGAGTGATGAGAAGGATGCCCGTGGTTACCTTCAAGCTCTTGCTACACGAATGACCGAAGAACTTGAGACCCTGAAGGTGTCTGGTGTTGTTGGTGGCGGATCTTCAGTCCTAGCACCTCCAGAAAAGAACTGGCGCAATCGTCGCTCTCAGAAATTAGACAAGATGGAACTTCTGAATTTGCAGTCCTCCCTCAACTCAGAGATACAAGCAAAGCAAGTGATATCTGAAGAGCTAAGCAAAGTTCGTGCAGATCTGGTTGCAGCACAAAAGTAAGTGTATTGAAGATTCTTTTTATTAATGTTTTTTTCCTTTTTTTTTTCCATGCAGTTTAAAGTTTTATGCCAAGTATCACACAAGAAAACATAAATCACTGTGAAATGTGATGGTGCTTAAACTACCTTACATAGTAAGTTAAATAGGAGCAAAAAAATCTTATTTGTAATTATCATTTTTTGTTATTTGATTTAAAACTTTATAGACACAAAATATAGAAAAGTCATTTAAACATACATGAACTCAACAAGATTATGGTTATGCAATACAAATGCATATTACTATTGAAAAATTAAACTACATCCACCTGCAAGTGGTTAAATTGTATTTCAAAACTACACTTCTTTGTTAAATATAAGACAGGAACATTAGTTAACACCTTGATATGGTTCATAGTATATCAGCAACAAATCGCCAACACATCTTGAGTATATCTGGAAAGGGTTTCGGGGGTCAGTGCCCCCATGGCCCTGTCTGAGACCAGGCAGTCAACATAAGTAATGACACTAAATGCAGTTTTCACACACACATATTACTATAGGTACTGTTATCTAAGTGATATAAAATGCCCATCATTAACCCTTTGACTGTTTCAGGTCCCTCTCTGAAACTGTCATTCTATGTCGCCAAATATTCAAAAAAAAAAAATTATTTTTTCTTATGAAAATGTTAAGATTATTTTTCTGAGTGTTTTAGTCCAAAAAAAAAATTTTTGCCATCGGTACTTACCGAGATATAGAGCCATGAAGTTTGCAGAAAATGAGCCGCGTATGGCAACAGCGGCGACTGCCGCTCACCCGGTAAACTTTAGTTTACTTGTAATTGAAGGTTTTTTGTTTTTTTCACTATTTTATTTTTTCACATAACTTATGTGGCCTATGAGACCAAAGTAAGGTGCAATGTATATATATACACTCGTTGTATACAACACAACAAGCACACAAACATAATTATCAATATATTGTTTACAAAACTTGTTTACAAAAACAAACAAACAATTCTTCTTCTTCTTCTTCTTCTTCCTCTTCCTCTTCCTCTTCCTCCTCTTCCTCCTCCTCTTCCTCCTCCTCTTCCCTCCCCTTTCCTCCCTCTTCCTCCTCCTCTTCCTCCTCCTCTTCCCCTCCTCTTCCTCCTCCTCTCTCCTCTCCTCTTCCTCCTCCTCTTCCTCCTCCTCTTCCTCCTCCTCTTCCTCCTCCTCTTCCCTCTTCCTCCTCCTCTTCCTCCTCCTCTTCCTCCTCCTCTTCCTCCTCCTCTTCCTCCTCTTCTTCTTCTTCCTCCTCCTCTTCTTCCTCCTCTTCTTCTTCTTCCTCCTCTTCTTCTTCTTCCTCCTCCTTCCTCCTCCTTGTGTGCGAGTGTGTGGCTTATAATTGTTTTGAGTCAGGAGTCGGCAGCTGTCAAAGTGACATATTGTGTCATTAGTCACTACCCTACCGCCTGTCAAAACAATGGGGTCGGATGCTGCTTCCCCTCTCCATTCTATCTAATTATCTTTCTCCCTCATTTTATATCTTTCAATCTGTCTCTCTTTCTATCTGTTGCCTATCTCTGTCTCACAGGTACACATAAATACAAGTATACATAGTGTAAATTACCTAGGATAACCCAGAAACTCCAGACAAAGTGCTATACTGCTTGAAGATGTAGTAAACGTGATGAACAGTCTGTGGCTCTCTCTGAGACAGAGACTAGATGGACAGAGAGTTTGCAGACAGACAAATAGACAACAGAAAATGTTGTTGTACCGCAAAAACAAAGGAGGCAATTGGTCAGTGGTTACCCTCCATTACCTGTATCAAAGTCATCTTTTTATAATGTTATTCCCTTTTTTCATGCATGTTTTAAGTTTTTCTTGCCAAGTGAACAATAGAAACATAAATCTCTGTGATCTCTGGTGCTCCTAACTACCTTACATCTAACTTCAAATACGCAAAATCCTCCTCTTCCTAATTTCATTCTTTCTTATTTTCTCCTTTCTCCCACAACTATCCATTGCTTTTTTAAACATCTCAACTCATGAAATTGGATTATGCATACATCTGTATTACATACTTGGAAAATAAACTCCCAGATTTGCTGGGTTAAATTGTATTTCACTACACTTCTTGTAAAAATAAACAGAACATGCATTACACCACATGATATGGTTCTTTTTTTATATCGAAACAATCGACCATTTGAGATTCTGGAAGGTTGGGCTCCAGTTCCCCTGGCCTGTCTGAAGGCAGAAATTATGCATAAATCATTTTCAGAAACATTTCTATAGACTGTTATTAAGTGGAAAAATGCTCAAAGGGTTAAACAGGACCTCGTCTACTCGTGCAAAAATGTGTTGGTATAGGAAAGAGTGCATAACGTGAAAAAAAAAGCCATACAACTTACAAGTGTCATTTAATCCGTTAACTGTCCAAGCGTAGATACAAGTTCTTACTGCTAGCGCTCCGAACATAGATCAACGTTTTATTTTTCCTGCCTCCAAATTTGGCACGATTGGCCTGAGATGCCTGGTCAGCATAGAATGGGGTCTTAACAATCAGTGTGCACAGTATTAAAAAAAATCTGGGACCACTTACTACCTTGTGAGAACACCAATTCAATTGAGCACCAGCTAGAGCAAACAGCGTGGCAGACACCAGGGATTCACTGATGTCATGTCATATTAACACTCCCCTTTTAACCCTTAACCCTTTCAGGGTCCAAGGCCAAAATCGGAATGGGTGCCCCAGTGTCCAAGAAATTTTGAAAAAAAAAAAAAAAAAAAAAAGTTTTTTCTTACAGAATTAAAGAGCATATTTTTGTGAAGGTAATAAAAAAAAAATTTCTGATCAGTACTTACCGAGATACAGTGGCGAGAAATTGACCCAAAATGGCCGGGTGGCGGCAACATCGGCGATTTCCACAAACTCACATTTTTTTATATTATGTTTTTTATACTTTTTTCTTTGCTTTTCTAATTTTTTCTTTTCCTAGTAGCATTTGTGGCCTGTGAGACCAATACTGTATATAATGTATATATATAAACTCACTGTATTGAACACAATAAACGCACTAAAGTTATATTTATAATATTGTTTACCACTTTTGTTTATTACAATAAACATGCACAGATCTTGTATAATACTAATATTCTATCATATATTTACATATGTACAATCACTGGACATGTTTTTAGAACTGCTGCAGCTTGTGGAACTCCTTGAAACAAGGCACCATTCACAGAGGTACCTTACATTCCTCGCACATAAACCGAGTGTCTTTGCGTCTTTGTTGCCGTCGTTTTGTTTGTGTAGACAACACATCTCTTCTGAGCAAATTTCTTATTAGTTGCAGGAAGCTGTATTATGAAGTGATCACCTTCCCTCCTCAAACGCTTGGGTATATCCTGAGGAGTTCGAGGACGGTTTTGTATAGCAGGTGTTGTTACCTGGTATTTCATTATGAGTTGTCTGACAACAGACAAACAAAATTCACCATACGGTGGTCTGTTGCCAGTCTTCACTTGGTACATATTATATGCATTGAGCATTGAAATGTCCATGAGATGGAAGAAAAGTTTCATATACCACTTGTAACTCTGACAAACACAATCAACAAAGCCAATCTGCATATCACATTTATCAACCAAGTGCATGTTTTGTGTATAATCAATCACTGTCACTGGTTTTCAAATACGTTCATTAGTCACTCAATCAACTTTGCCACTGTCTTGCATTTCGTTACGGTGAATGGTTGTCAACAATGTGACATCTCGTTTGTCATGCCACCGTAATGCCATGATATCATTGGCAGTAAACACCTGCACCTCTTCATCAAGAGTGCCTCCGTTGAACCTGGGCATATGTTTACGATTAGAACGCACTGTGCCACACACATCTGTCATGTTCACTCACAAGAAATCACTGAGTAAAGGGCTTGTGTACCAGTTATCAGTATATAATGTATGCCCCTTACCAAGATAAGGTGCCATCATGCTTCTCACTACATCACCTGAGATACCCAATAACATCCTGGTGTCTTTCAATGTTTTACTTCCCATGTATACAACAATATCCAATACCAGGCCACTGTCAAAGTCACAGAGTACAAACAGTTTTATACCAAAGCATTTCCTCTTGCTGGGTATATAACAGCTCCAACCATCTCTCACTCACTCCCATACCCATCTAGGCGAAGCTTCAGCCTCCTATTTTCCTCCTGAAGAAGTAGAACCTTCTCCTTCAACACTTTAACCTTAGATTCTAAAACACTACAGCAAGCCATGGTGCTCGGTAACACCCCACGCTAATTCCCAGACAGCTTAGGACAAGATGACCTCATGTGACCACTGACAATCATCTCTTTCTTATCTGCACTACACCCACACACATTTAAACCTAGCAATGTTATAATTTTTTTCTTCTTATATTTAGTAATTTATACAGGAGAATGTGTTACTAGCCTCATGCTCCTGGCATAGGGATGAAATAAATAAGAACAGTAGCTGATAAGAAAATATAAGAAAGCTCATATGGGTGTGTATATGCCTGTGTAGTGTGACCTAAGTGTCAGTAGAAGTAGCAAGATGTACCTTTTTTCTTGCATGTTCCTGAGACAGAAAAGACTCTAGTAATCCCACCATTGTGTAAAATGATTACAGGTTACAGTTTCACACACTTTTAGCAGGACAATAGTATCTCCCTGGGGGGTTGCTCTCTACCAGCCTACTACTTTCTAATATAATATTAGTATTAGTTATTAGTATTTTCTTGGAATAAGCTAGCCATTCATTTCTCTTATTAATGTTCTGCTTCAATTTATGTGGAGTTACATTTAGTGTGTTCCCATGTCCCTTTATTTCTAAACTTTTTTTTTTTATTTTTATTATCACACTGGCCGATTCCCACCAAGGCAGGGTGGCCCGAAAAAGAAAAACTTTCACCATCATTCACTCCATCACTGTCTTGCCAGAAGGGTGCTTTACACTACAGTTTTTAAACTGCAACATTAACACCCCTCCTTCAGAGTGCAGGCACTGTACTTCCCATCTCCAGGACTCAAGTCCGGCCTGCCGGTTTCCCTGAATCCCTTCACAAATGTTACTTTGCTCACACTCCAACAGCACGTCAAGTATTAAAAACCATTTGTCTCCATTCACTCCTATCAAACACGCTCACGCATGCCTGCTGGAAGTCCAAGCCCCTCGCACACAAAACCTCCTTTACCCCCTCCCTCCAACCCTTCCTAGGCCGACCCCTACCCCGCCTTCCTTCCACTACAGACTGATACACTCTTGAAGTCATTCTGTTTCGCTCCATTCTCTCTACATGTCCGAACCACCTCAACAACCCTTCCTCAGCCCTCTGGACAACAGTTTTGGTAATCCCGCACCTCCTCCTAACTTCCAAACTACGAATTCTCTGCATTATATTCACACCACACATTGCCCTCAGACATGACATCTCCACTGCCTCCAGCCTTCTCCTCGCTGCAACATTCATCACCCACGCTTCACACCCATATAAGAGCGTTGGTAAAACTATACTCTCATACATTCCCCTCTTTGCCTCCAAGGACAAAGTTCTTTGTCTCCACAGACTCCTAAGTGCACCACTCACTCTTTTTCCCTCATCAATTCTATGATTCACCTCATCTTTCATAGACCCATCCGCTGACACGTCCACTCCCAAATATCTGAATACGTTCACCTCCTCCATACTCTCCCTCCAATCTGATATTCAATCTTCATCACCTAATCTTTTTGTTATCCTCATAACCTTACTCTTTCCTGTATTCACCTTTAATTTTCTTCTTTTGCACACCCTACCAAATTCATCCACCAATCTCTGCAGCTTCTCTTCAGAATCTCCCAAGAGCACAGTGTCATCAGCAAAGAGCAGCTGTGACAACTCCCACTTTGTGTGTGATTCTTTATCTTTTAACTCCACGCCTCTTGCCAAGACCCTCGCATTTACTTCTCTTACAACCCCATCTATAAATATATTAAACAACCACGGTGACATCACACATCCTTGTCTAAGGCCTACTTTTACTGGGAAAAAATTTCCCTCTTTCCTACATACTCTAACTTGAGCCTCGCTATCCTCGTAAAAACTCTTCACTGCTTTCAGTAACCTACCTCCTACACCATACACTTGCAACATCTGCCACATTGCCCCCTATCCACCCTGTCATACGCCTTTTCCAAATCCATAAATGCCACAAAGACCTCTTTAGCCTTATCTAAATACTTATATGTTTCACTGTAAACACCTGGTCCACACACCCCCTACCTTTCCTAAAGCCTCCTTGTTCATCTGCTATCCTATTCTCCGTCTTACTCTTAATTCTTTCAATTATAACTCTACCATACACTTTACCAGGTACACTCAACAGACTTATTCCCCTATAATTTTTGCACTCTCTTTTATCCCCTTTGCCTTTATACAAAGGAACTATGCATGCTCTCTGCCAATCCCTAGGTACCTTACCCTCTTCCATACATTTATTAAATAATTGCACCAACCACTCCAAAACTATATCCCCACCTGCTTTTAACATTTCTATCTTTATCCCATCAATCCCGGCTGCCTTACCCCCTTTATTTCTAAACTTATTTTAATTTATTTAGTTCAAATTGTTTTCCTTGTAGTATGTAGAAAGAGATTCACAGGTAAGCAAATGTGTGGTGTTTGGTGTTCTTAAAAGAAAAGAAAATGCTTGTTCCCTTGTGTTAAATGAAGTCACTACGTAACATTGCTTGTTTCAGTGTTTAACTCAAGTTCGTTATATTATAACCTAAATTATCTCTGACAAGGAGGTTCAACCATAATTTTCCTATTACAGGGATGTACGTGAATTTAAGCAACGGTATGAAAATATCTCTCGGGAGAACATGAGGAAAGAGAAGCAAGTACGGGATCTTCAGAGCAGACTAGAAGCTGGTGAGGGCTGTAAGTATTTATGTATGCTTCTCTCTCCCACTGTCTCTCCTTTTTTTCATAATTTTTTTCATGGGAGGCCCAAACTTTAATTTGCATGGGTATAACCAGGATAAAGTGAGATATTTTCATCTATTTTTTCCTCCAACATAAATGATGCCACTCTTGATCATTTATTGTACTTAGTAGGAGAACTTACATCACCCAAGTCTCATCACTCATGTACATACTGTACACTAGATAGATGACAATAAACAAGTTATCCATTTAAAAGTTAGGAAGTAATATTTTAATTGTAAAGGAAATGAATTCTTCAGTTACGAGGCTTAATGCTTTTATACATAAAGGATGGAAGTAATTATTTTAGCAAATCTTTTAAAGTCTTTCATTTTTTTTAATCCAAGTGTACATTGTTCCTGAGTTGACAAGAGGGAGGCTGCTAAGGATTTCCTCCAAAGATGAACATGAAGACTACTCATATTCATCTATTTTTAACCTGCTTCATCTTTTGCAATTAAGAAATAGTGATTTTCTGTAACAAGGTTTAATGCTAAGTTTTAAATACTTATTCAAGATAACATTAAATTGGATCAATTTATTTACATTGCCACCTTGTGCAAAAGTAAATATAATTGAATATGTTTTAAAGGAAATATTATTGTGTATAGTATTAGGGATGTTGATATACTACCATTTTACTAATTATGAAATAATGAATATGTTGCTCATTACAGTATAAATATTTCTTGTTTTAGGGAATTCTCTCTATATTTTAGGAGATATTAAAGATATAAGTCAAATAAGTTTATCATTATATGCAGGAGGGCCCCGTTTATACAGCAGGTTAGGTTCTGGGCTACTGCTATAAAGTGTAAATTGCTGTAAAGTGATTCATAAACTTTTTTTTCACTTTCAGATGCACATAAAAACCTTTTTTTCCACTTTCAAATGCATATAAAAGCCTGATAATATATTTGCCCTATTTATACTAAGTGAGCAATACATCTAGACCTAAAAAATACATATACATTACACACGTTACTTACCTTAAAATATTTTCATGCTTAGCTTGTAGTGAGTGGTGAATATATCTATTGTAGGAAGTCTGAATGAATGAAAAATGGATATAATTGAAAACCTCTGTATTAGCAAAACACTGTAAAATTGAAGTGCTGTAAAGCAGGGCCCTCCTGTACTGTGTAATTACTTGTTTGATTTTGTGGGAGGGATGGGGTGAGCTGCAGCTCTTCATATTGCTTCTTAACTCTCCGGTAACTGACATAATTAAGCCTTGTCATAGCATTTTTAAATCCCTGTGTGGAGTTGTTTTTCAGTGTCATTGTAGAATTCTTTTTCTTTACCACTCATGCTAAAGAAGTGTGCTTTACCACTCACCTTAAAGAAATCTTTCCTGATTTATCTTTTGCACATTTGGATGCATTATTTTTGACAATGTTCCCTTGGTCTTGTTGCATCCCTGGTAAAGAGCTAATCCTTGTTGCACTCTCATACTGATGTTTCATTACTTATAGTGACTTCCTTTCTCTTTTTTAACCCTTTCACTGTCCAGATCCCCAAAATTTAAAAAAAATCTGAAATGGGAGAGAATCTTTTCCAGAAGATAATGACACCAAGAATACAAAATTTGATGAAAGACTTATGGAATTATGCAGTCATAAAGTTAGTGATACAGGCTCATTTTATGCATTGACAATTTTGCCGACTGAGTCCTATTTTAAGCCAATCCCTTTGCTCAATTTAACCAAATTCTTAGCTAGTTTGCTATTATGCCTTCCATTCTATCAATTGAGTACAAGAAACCGCTCATTCACCTATCAAAATTACCGTATAATTTTGCCAGTTATACTCAGAATTAAAAAGAATAATTTAAAAAGAGTCGAAAATAAACATAGACATTCCAAACACTAAAACAACATTTCCTCTGTTCTGTAATCATGCCCCCAGGCCTCTCCTTTATTACACTTGCCTTCCATTTTGAATTCATCATACAAAAAATCAAAGATTTACCCTATGTCTTACATAAAATATAACCAAGAATGACTTGTCATGGTTCACAGCATCCCAATAATTGAATCAGACCTAGTAAAAATCCATTAAACAGGGCCTTGCTCGTCCTCAAGAATATCGGCAAAAATGAAATATTTCCGTTTGTTTCAGGTCAATTTCAAGCTACTTGTGAGCCTGGAGTCAGCCAAATCATCTTTATTTCACTAGTATATCTTCCATTCTATCAAATGATCCCAAGAAACAACCAAAAAATAAATCCTAGAAAACACCTCAGCCATTTTTTGAAAGAAACACAAGGTCATAGTTTTTCTTTTTCCATCATGCACTAGTTGAGGCAGAATTTTTTTTTATGCTGTGCACACTCGCCACACAGACCCATTCTCTCATATCTAGGTGAAAATTTACTGCTCACAGCTTAATCTGAGTGAGCTGAGTTCATAACATAGATCTATGTGATGGACTCTGGTGTCAATGACGTGTTTCTGCGTGATGGACATTCAAAGGGTTAAGTATTCCTTTCCATGTTACTACCTTTTCTTTTAGCCCAGCTTGCTTCTTGAATTTGCAGGGTAGTTTTTAATGTGGTATCATGTCAAATCTTACACACTAGGAATTTGTGGTGCATTCATTCCTCTCTTTCCTGTCTGACCTCTCTTGTTCTATCATATATCTACAAGGTTTGGCCTTCCATTTTTGAATCTGTAAGGTATCTGATACAGTATTTTCCTGACTTTCAACAAGACTTTATGATCCTTTCCAGTAGTTTTTAAGTTGACTTTGACCCCTAAACTGTGCTGTACCTGGAAATAAAATTTCTTGTGTGTGTGTGTGGGGGGGGGGTTAAAAAAAAGTTCTTATAGAATGAACGAATGCATTTTTATGAATTGAATAAGACTAAAAGAGTGGAATCTGATTGAAACTAAAGATTTTATGGTGTGCTGAAGTTAATGAAAAAATCATCACTTGTCAGTAAAAGTGATGTAAATGTGCCAGTGATATTTACGTTTTACAATTTATTGATGTCAAGATATGATTGTTTTTCTGTGTTTTTAATTGCTCTTAATGTTTAATGCTGTTTATACTAGTTTCTTATGAGGAAATGCTTAGCCTGAAATTGGTCCACTTGGTTTATATACAGGTCTCCCTCAACATTCGCGTTTTCAACTTTTGCGGGCTTCACATATTCGCGAATTCCCAACCGCCAAATTCCCAGCTGCCAAATCATATTTAAGTTTCCCACCACCTGCGAGTCCCTACTACCCTCCCTCCGACCCCTGCAACTGGCAGCCAGCCCTCCCACCACTTTGTGGTGAGTGCTTTGTTTGTTCATTATTTGCTAATAAACTACAGTATAAATAATGTAAACCCATTCATGACTGCATATTGGAATGGCTATTCAGACAGGTATTGGACGGTGACATCATGTGTTTACTCTTGAACACAGCAAAGAATCAAACATTTCTGCTACTGCTAATAACAACAGTGATAATAATAATGATAATAATAATAATAATAAATACGATAGAATTGAAGAAAGAAATTGTACAGAAATACGAGGGAGTGGCTGACACATTGTCAGTGTGGCTTTGTTTATGCTGGAGTGAGCACTAGACTACGTGCTCTTCCAAACATTTCACAATAATTCATTGTGTTTGGTGCTTGTAGATTGAGTGCGACTGGAGTGGTAGAGGCAGTGGTTGAGGCAATTATGGAGACAGTGGTTGAGGCAGTGGGCGAGGCAGCGGTTGAGGCAGTGGGCAAGGCAGCAGTTGAGGCAGTGGGTGAGGCAGCAGTTGAGGCAGTGGTTGAAGCAGTGGTTGAGGCAGTGGTTGAGGCAGCTGTTGAGGCAGCGATTGAGGCAGCAATTGAGGCAGTGGGTGAAGCAGTGGTTGAGGCAGTGGGCAAGGCAGCAGTTGAGGCAGTGGGTGAGGCAGCGGTTGAGGCAGTGGGTGAGGCAGTGGGCGAGGCAGCAGTTTAGGCAGTGGGTGAGGCAACGGTTGAGGCAGTGGGCGAGGCAGCAGTTGAGGCAGTGGGTGAGGCAGTGGGTGAGGCAGCGGTTGAGGCAGTGGGTGAGGCAGTGGGCGAGGCAGCAGTTTAGGCAGTGGGTGAGGCAACGGTTGAGGCAGCGGTTGAGGCAGTGGGCGAGGCAGTGGGTGAGGCAGTGGGTGAGGCAGTGGGTGAGGCAGTGGGTGAGGCAGCGGTTGAGGCAGCGGTTGAGGCAGCGGTTGAGGCAGCGGTTGAGGCAGCGGTTGAGGCAGCGGTTGAGGCAGCGGTTGAGGCAGCGGTTGAGGCAGCGGTTGAGGCAGTGGGTGAGGCAGGGGGTGAGGCAGTGGGTGAGGAAGCGGTTGAGGCAGGGGGTGAGGCAGCGGGTGAGGCAGCGGGTGAGGCAGTGGGCGAGGCAGTGGGCGAGGCAGTGGTTGAGGCAGCGGTTGAGGCAGTGGGTGAGGCAGTGGATGAGGCAGTGGGCGAGGCAGTGGGCGAGGCAGTGGATGAGGCAGTGGGCGATGCAGCGGTTGAGGCAGTGGCTGAGGCACTGGTTGAGGCAGCGGTTGAGGCAGTGATATTTAATAACATACATGTTATTAATAATAATAATACATGTTATTAATAATAACATGTACTAGTATTATTTATAACATATATGTTATTAAATACCGCTGCCTCAACCGCTGCCTCTACCATTGCCTCAACCGCTGCCTCAACCGCTTCCTCAACCACTGCCTTAACCACTGCCTCAACTGCTTCCTCAACCACTGCCTCACCCACTGCCTCAACCACTGCCTCAACTGCTGCCTCACCCACTGCCTCACTCACTGCCTCTCCCACTGCCTCAGCCACTGCCTCAACCACTGCCTCTACCACTCCAGTCGCACTCAATCTACAAGCACCAAACACAATGAATTATTGTGAAATGTTTTGAAGAGCACGGAGACTAATGCTCACTCCAGCATAAACAAAGCCACACTGACGATGTATCAACCACT